TGATTGGGGTATGCCTCCATGGGAGTGCTGCCCAATGTAGTCCTCCCCTACCCTGGGAGTGTTGTTCAGCAATGAACAGCTGAACTCTGCTGTCTACTTAGCTCCATCCAGACATTTCTGGACTTGCTTCATTGCAGAATGCAGACATTAGGAGCCCTGCCTATGGCCAAGGGATGGGGGTGGCTTGTGATTGTGCCTCTGCTGAGTTCTGAACCCCTCCTAAGCATGCACCTGGTGTTCCCCGGATCCTGGTTGGGAACCGGCTGCATCTGGCCTTCAAGCGGCAAGTCCCAACGGAACAGGCCCGAGCCTACGCAGAGAAGAACTGCATGACCTTCTTTGAAGTCAGCCCCCTGTGCAACTTCAACGTCATTGAGTCCTTCACTGAGCTCTCTCGTATCGTTCTTATGCGGCATGGCATGGAGAAGATCTGGAGGCCCAATCGAGGTGGGACTGAGGCTTAGTTCAGCTAGGATGCTAGCTAGTGGAGTCATGGGGGCTGATGGTGGAGCTGCAGGCATCGATAGTGCATTTAGAGTATAAGTAGTCTCTTAAGAGCTGCAGTCACGTGGCTGCCCGCCCAGACCCTAGATCAAGTGATCTCTTCCTTTGCTATGATTTGAGAGCAGAGCTCTGCACAGTCACCTTCACTGCTAATGGTCACAGAAGCAGTGTGTGCAGCTCAGCAGTATCTATCATTGTCCATATACTTGACCGGAAGCCCTAACTATGGCCTTACTCACAGGGTACTTTACAGTAGGGCTCCCTGCTAGGCACAGAGGTGGTTACAATGTCACCCTAAGATGAAGCCACAGAGAACATAGTAACTAAATCTTCTCTTGAGCCGAAAGGCTTCTGCCAACTATAGGCAAGACTGAGTTAACCTCCAACCAGAGCTATAGCAAGGGCTGCATTCCAAAGTTAGTCTGCCTCCTCACCCAGTCTTAAAGAGCATCTGGACAGACTGGCCTCTCTTAAGAACACTTTGTAGTGTTTTCTGCTCTAAGAAGGCAGGAGATAGGAGCCACCCAGTGTACAGATAGTGGGGCATCCAGGATCCCTGAGCTAGCGAAGCCACCAGGAGTTTTGAGACTCAGCCAGGCTTTACAGGTAATGTGAAAACCATGTACCTCTCAACAGCTCCCCTAATAAAATCTCATTACCTATCTGTTCCCTCCTCCATCTTACCCTCCCCTCACAGTTTTCAGCCTGCAGGACCTCTGCTGCCGTGCTATTGTCTCCTGTACCCCCGTGCACCTCATCGACAAGCTCCCACTACCTGTCACCATCAAGAGCCACCTCAAGTCCTTTTCCATGGCCAACGGCATGAACGCTGTCATGATGCATGGCCGCTCCTACTCCCTGGCAAGTGGGGCCGGGGGCAGTGGCAGCAAGGGCAACAGCCTTAAGAGGTCCAAGTCCATCCGTCCCCCCCAGAGTCCACCTCAGAACTGCTCTCGGAGCAACTGCAAGATCTCCTAGCGGAACCTGTGGGTTCCGCCTGTTCAGACTCGGAGCTAATGCTGGAGCACTCCTGGCCAGGCACTAGGCCCTGCTGTGTGCAGGAAGACTTGGCTACACAACCATGCCTGGGTCTTCCCAGGCTTTCCTCCACATCTGAGCTAGTGGAGGGAAGGGGCATGCAGGGAGAGACATGCTCCACAGACCAAGCAGCAGGGCTGCTGGTGCTACGGGGACCAGGTCTGAACCAATCCTGGACTCCAGGCTGGGAGTGAGCCTGGCTCCCCTTTATTTATATGGAGAACATTTTACCTGTTTTGTACATTTTTAAAGGGCTGTCAGGGAAGCCTGGATGCCCCTCATAGCCACATCAGCCGTTGGGGAAGCTCAGGATGTCAGGGAAGGAGGGGGTGAAGCAGTGATGGAGAGTTTCAGCATTGAAGCCAGATGACCTTTGGGTTTATAAACACCCTTTCTGGGTGTTGATGTTGCTCCGAGGCCAGTGGGAAACAGATGGGGCCAGGGTGTGCTCCAGATGCTCTGGCCGCAGTCTTAGCTCCAGCTTTCATTTCTGACAAAGGTGGTCAGTATGCTGGACATAGGCAAGGCTTCTGCTCCTGAGACCTAGGAGAGAAGCTGGTTGCACCTGGGAACCCCACTTGTATCCCTCTCCACTGTGCCCTGGCACTTTGAGTGATGTTTACTATACATTCAGTATCTCCAGGTTGAGGCAGAACTCAAGTGCTTAATGGTCTTCAGTGGTATCTGAGCTTTGGGCACAAGGCCCTGGGACCCCAGGGTCTAGCAGCTTGTACTCGTTAACCTTGACTGTGTTTCCTAGCTGCTTCTTGCCTATTGTGGCCCTTCTACCTGTAAGTTTATGTCACTGGAATCTCTATAACTTGTTTCTTAGTGACATTCTATGGAACAGCAGCCTCAACCATAGGGACCCACTAGGTGGAGCAACTTCTGAAGCCATGGACTATTCCTCCACAGTGCTCCTCATACCCCAATCCACCCTAGTCAGCCTTCTCCCCCGTGGGGTTGTTGTCCCCAGTGGATGTCCTATGTGACTGCTTTCCTGTCCTTGCCTGGTGACACAGTCCTCAGGCACGCTGGTGCTTAACTCTACCTCCTGCCCTCAGGGCCCTGGCCATAGCAGGAGCCATGACCCCTTACTGGGGACTTTCTTAGTGCACATTTCCTAAGACCATCTTGCCATGGATGCTACTAGGGCACTGGTAGACACAGCGCCAGCCTGCTGTTCTGAGAGGTTGGGTTAATGCCTGTAGGGACAGGGCTATGGTTGTGGGAACTGCCTGATAAGCAGCAGCCCCTGGGACCTGGCCCAGAGGCTGGATACAATCAAGCATCACCTTTCCCCACCAGTCCTGTTGCTGTTGATAAGAGACCTTTTCTCTGGAATCGCGAATAGAGTGGTATAGACTTTGAGGACCTGGATTGGCCTGCGTGTACGCCATCAACACTACCCTTGCTGCTGTGGACTCCACCATTCCTGGGTTCTTCGTTCTTACTTCTTTGTACAGTAAATGTACTTCAGCAGTGAGCTCATGTCTTTCTTTGTGAACATTGGTCTGGCTTAGTGGGCCTGTAGTTTGTTGGGGGTGGTGAGGGGTGTCTGACAGTGTGCTCTGCCACAGAAGCCAGCACTGCTTTGTGCCTGCCAAAATGATCCCAGGCTTTGTTAACTGTCCCCTGCAGCTGACCTCAGTGACCTGCAGCCATCCATCCACTGGGTTTACATTCCCAGCCACAAAGTAGCCAGGCCTGGTTACAAGCCACACTGGTTCCTGGGGTCTAATCTTGGCCAGGCCAGCATCAGGCAGGCTCAGCTATTCACAAGAGCCTTCATTCGTAGCCTACAGCAGACTGTTTCACGTAGTTTACCACTGCTTCAAGAACACATCTGCAAGTGGAACCTGGAGCTGGTACCTTTCACAGGAAAGCATTTAGCAGGTTATGGGGCTTTGCAGGGCCCTGCTCAGCTAGGGTTATGTCTGATATACTGGAGGGCAAATCTGAATGGGGCAATACAGTTCACTCTAAACATGGCCTCTGGCTCAGGTGCCACCTGCGCTCTTCAGTAGGCACGTCCCTGCCCCCTCATCACCAGGAGTCGGCTCACCCACAGCTCTTTTGTAAGGCAGCAGACACTGGCGCCTGGTAGCCATCTCTTGATCTCCTGGCCAGACCAGGCTCTTATTACCCTGCCTCCTGGGTCAGGGGGTCAGACAAAGGGTCACACAGACTTCTTCCTTCCTGTCTCTGAGAAAACCACTCCCTGGGGACCTCTGGAGTCACAGAAAGGGTTTGGAAAGGCAGATTCCAAGCAGGCCCTTTGTCTTGCCATCAGCTTTGATCTCCCTGCCCTCCCCCACAGTGGTAGAGCCTCTAGTCCAGTTAAAGAATGGATGCTGGCCCTCATGGTGGGTTTGTGGGGCAAGGCCTGAATGTACTTAGATCCCTGAGCAACATCTAGGATGCTTGCTCTTTGAAGGATGAGCTGGCCATCCCTTGAGAAGAAGTTTGGTGACTTCTCTGGACCCTTGTTTGCACTATGAACTACAGTCAGTGTTAGGAGAGACTGTCTTTGACCAGTGCACATAACTTTTTTGCACATGTCTTTTTTTCACGCAGACAAAATAGCCATCTGGTTTTGTGCCTGCCTTGCCCATTTGAAGGAGCCAGGAGCCCTGTTTTAGAGAAACAGGTGTGTCCAGGGGGGTGAATCCTGCTGCAGTGTGCTCTCGGCTGGTGAGATGGCCAAAGCACTGCTGTCACCTCCTCAGGGCACCACCATGCCAGGCACCCAGGCAGGTTTTTTACTCTATGCCAAGACCTGGCAGATGTGACACTTGAAGGGTCCTGAAGGAGAACAGAACCTCTACCACTAGCCAGCTGAAGATGTTCCTTACTTGTACTCGTGACAGGTGCCATCCTTGGCAGCCTTTGGAGAAAACCTAGGCTAGTAGTCAGTTAGGGCTGGAGACTGGGGCTGAGGACAAAAGCTGAAATCTACCAGCCCTGCCCCTCCTCCCTGAGTAGAGGGTAGGAGGGTCTTTAAGGAGACTTTGATCCCTGCTGGGCTTCAGCTTGTAGAGGGAGGGGCTCGAATTACAGCATCCCCCTCCCTGGTTTAGCTGGCCCTTCTCCGCCCCTTGGTGACCCTAGTGGTCAGTTGCTCTGAGCTTCAGGGCCTCTGGCCCCTCCCCAGCCCTTCCTCTTCTTCTGTTCCCAGTCCTATGCTGACCAGAGCCTGAGAGCCACCCACAGTGGTTGGGAGAGGGCCGGCCAGTATTTTGTGGACGGGTTTTGAAAGATCCCAGAATACCTATTCACACTTCCAGAAAGGAACATCAGCTGTGGGCTCCAGCCTTTGGGGGGCAGGGACCCAAGGAGTCACAGAAGAGGGTCCATTTGAGGCAGGGATAGCAATCCTAGGCCCAGGACCCTATAAGGTGGATGCCTATAGGAAGTCCTGGCTCCACGAGTGGCTGGTGGCCACACACTCCCACCCCCTGGCCCTGTGGCCCCCATGCCTGCCCCACAGCCACTCCTGCCTCTGCTCTTTGTCTTCGGGCTCATCCATCTGACCTCGGAGACCAACCCGCTGCCAGAGCCTGGAAGCCACCCTGGCATGTGCCCCAACCAGCTCAGCCCCCACCTGTGGGTGGACGCCCAGAGCACCTGTGAGCGTGAGTGCACCAGGGACCAGGTGAGCACTGGCATCTCATGGGATCCTGGGCCCCACCCCAGCTCTTTCCTCCGTGGGGGGAAGCAGACCCCAACCCCAGGAGTCCGCTTTCTCCAGGGTGTCTCCATACTCATTTCCCTGGATTTGGGGCCATGACCTGTCCTCAGGGCTCAAGGGATGCCCCTACCTTTCTACCCTCACCTGTCTGAAGAGTAAGAACATCTCCCATCCCTGGACTGACTGGTCTTCACCAATCCTGTCACTAATCTGCCTGAGCACCACTTCTTTAAGTGATGTGGACCCAGGCCTCTGACCTACCCCTGCAAATGGCACCACCCTTCTGCCCTGCCCTGCCTGTGGTCCTTTCCTCATTTCCCAGACTGGGAAGGGGGACAAAAGAGTTCCCCAAGTGGTGCGCCCTCTGATGGCAGAGCAGCTGCTTGCACACTGCTCCATCTGCACTGCAGAGGTGCTAATGAGGCCTGCTGCGGTGCCGAGGATTCAGTGGGAGTAAGGTGACACGGACGGCCTTGCTGCTCGTGCTGTTCAGAAAGCACTGCCACCACTTTCCATAGGGAAGCAGGCTTTGAGAGAGGCAGCCACGTCTCCCAGGGGAGTGCATGGGCAATGCTGGGAAGGGTTCAGGGTTCCACTAAACTGTCCCTGTCCCTCAGGACTGTGCGGCCTCTGAGAAGTGCTGCACCAATGTGTGTGGGCTGCAGAGCTGCGTGGCGGCCCGCTTCCCCAGTGGTGGCCCAGCTGTACCTGAGCCAGCAGCCTCCTGTGAAGGCTTCCAATGCACACAACAGGGTTCTGACTGTGACATCTGGGATGGGCAGCCAGTTTGCCGCTGCCGTGACCGCTGTGAGAAAGAACCCAGCTTCACTTGCGCTTCCGATGGCCTCACCTATTACAACCGCTGCTATATGGATGCAGAGGCCTGCCTGCGGGGTCTCCACCTGCATGTGGTGCCCTGCAAACACATTCTCAGCTGGCCACCCAGTAGCCCAGGACCACCTGAGACCACTGCTCGGCCAACCCCTGGGGCTGCTCCCATGCCACCTGCCCTGTATAACAGCCCCTCACCACAGGCAGTACATGTAGGGGGAACAGCCAGCCTCCACTGTGATGTTAGTGGCCGTCCACCGCCTGCTGTGACCTGGGAGAAACAAAGCCATCAGCGGGAGAACCTGATCATGCGCCCTGACCAGATGTATGGCAATGTGGTTGTCACCAGTATTGGACAGCTAGTGCTGTACAATGCCCAGTTGGAGGATGCAGGCCTATATACATGCACTGCACGCAATGCTGCTGGCCTGCTGCGGGCTGACTTCCCCCTCTCTGTTTTACAGCGGGTAAATACTCAGGATAAGGACCCAGGTGTCCTGGCCCTGGCTGAGTGCCAGCCTGACACACAGGCGTGTGTTGGGCCTGCCACTCCTCACCATGTCCTTTGGCGCTTTGACCCACAGCGAGGCAGCTGCATGACCTTCCCAGCCCTCAAATGTGATGGAGCTGCCCGGGGCTTTGAGACCTATGAGGCATGCCAACAGGCCTGTGTCCGTGGCCCTGGGGATGCCTGTGCACTACCTGCGGTTCAGGGCCCCTGCCAGGGCTGGGAGCCACGCTGGGCCTATAGCCCACTGCTACAGCAGTGCCACCCCTTTGTATACAGTGGCTGTGAAGGCAACAGCAATAACTTTGAGAGCCGGGAGAGCTGTGAAGATGCTTGCCCCGTGCCACGCACACCACCCTGTCGTGCCTGCCGCCTCAAGAGCAAGCTGGCTCTGAGCTTGTGCCGTAGTGATTTTGCCATTGTGGGTCGACTCACAGAGGTACTGGAGGAGCCAGAGGCTGCTGGCGGCATTGCTCGTGTGGCCTTAGATGATGTGCTCAAAGATGACAAGATGGGCCTCAAGTTCTTGGGCACCAAATACCTGGAGGTGACACTGAGTGGCATGGACTGGGCCTGCCCATGCCCCAATGTGACAGCTGGTGATGGGCCACTGGTCATCATGGGTGAGGTTCGTGAAGGTGTGGCCATATTGGATGCTAACAGCTATGTCCGTGCTGCCAGCGAGAAGCGAGTCAAGAAGATTGCAGAGCTGCTTGAGAAGAAGGCTTGTGAGCTGCTCAACCGCTTCCAAGACTAGCTTTATCTGTAATCCCCATTCCCACCCTCCTTCCTGCTGAATAAATGTCTGTGCCTGTGGGATTCACAGCCTCTGGTTCCCTTCTAGCTGCAGCCGCCCCATCACCACTGTGTTCAGCTGGAGTCTTGCGAGTAAAGGGAGCTCCAGTCTCTGCCCAAGGGTTACCAAGTAGCACCATGTCACTCTTGGGGACCCTCCTACAGACCTACAAGTTTCTCTCCTGGGACATAAGAGGAAGCCAGCTCAATCCTGCTTCAGCCATCCTCCAAGCTCTAATCTTCCCTCAGACCAAACCCCCTTTGCCTTCCCACAACTATTCCCAGCAAACAGTGTGGTAGGGATGCCCCCAGTGAAATGGAATGGCTTTATTTCATGGCCCATTGGGCCCAGATTCTCTGTAGCACTGTGGCCACCAGATTAGGAGGGACTAATTTATCCCAAGGAGTGACTCAGGCAGGGGCTGATGTCTAGCTTGTACCATGGCAGAACCTTTGGCAGAGATGCAGGCACATGGGAGGTAGGAAATAGGCTATTCTTTCCGGAAAATCAGGCACTTGTTGTTGGCTGGCATGTCCACCTGGAAAAATGTTTGCTGGAGTGGCCCTTAGTCCCAGGGAGATTCCCTACCCCCCACCATTGCCCTGCCTACCATCCTCTCCAGGACCAAGCCGCTGGCCTGGCCTAGTTCCTCCAGGAGGGCTGTGTCACGAAGCCCCCACTCTGGGTTCCTACAGTCAGGGAGGGAGGGAGATGTCACTTGCAGAACTGAAGGTTTCATCAGCCCACCTGCCCTCTGAGCCAAGCCCCTCTCCACCTAGGTCTGACCTGCATCTGAGGCTCAGGTCAAAGTCCACGTTGCTCTGGGGAGAGATCTTTCCATTGACTGCAAAGGGCTGTGGGAACAAGGAGACAGTCTGTGGGCCCAAGGTCAGTTCCCATAGGACTCATTTTTAGACTGGGAACAAGAGTATGCAAAGAACACCCCCTTTCTGCTCCCAAGAAGGAAAAGGGCAAGGATCCAGATTCAGTGCAAGAGACTGGGAAACACCTGGACTGCTAAGGGCCTCTTAAGGTAGGGTCACTCACCCCATAGGTGATCAGCAGGGCCTTGGTTTTAAGCAGTTGTCCTGCTGCCTTGAAGAGTCCCTGAAGAGAGGGAGACAGGGTAAGCTGGGCGCTTGAGACTCAGGCCTGATTCAGCACATCTGCCTGTCACCATCTAGCTAGCCAGGGTCAGTCAATCTGACCTCAGAACTTGTCTGCTGAATCAGGGCAACCCTGTTTGTTTTGTTTTTTGTTTTCTCTATGTTGTTTGTTTGGGGGCGGGTTGTAAATTTGTAGAATTAAATAATTTTTCCTTCTGGAAAGGAAAAAAAGAGAGAGACTCAGGCCTCCTTTCTTGCAGCATGAAAGCTGGGTTCCACAATGTCCTTACCTCAGTGCAGTTCAGGGGGCTGATGTGGATCATATTGATGCAGAGCAACAGGTCCAGCGACCGCGGCTGGATTCCACCCCATTGCTCCCACTCCCAGGTCACGTCCAGGTACAGCGGGGCCTTCACATTGGACAAACCTTGGGCTTGGGTGGTGGCGGCAATGCTGTAGTGGGCAGCGCGTGGGCAAGGGTCAGCTAGCGCACCCCACCACTACCAACAGTGGGTCAGGGGCTAAGTCCTGAAGAGCGGCCAGCGGGTACCACTTCCTCAGTCCAGCACCCAGACCTGGTCCCGCCCTCTCTTCCCATCGCCAGCCCCGCCCCCCGCTCAACCCAAGCCCAGGCAAGTGGGAGACGCCGAGCCGCCACACCTGTCCAGGCAGCGCTGGTCCACGTCTGACGGCTGCCACTCGGCGTGCGGGAAAGCCTGTGCAAAGTGCGCGGCGTGCTGGCCGGAGCCCGAGGCCACCTCGAGCACGCGAACGCCGCGTTGGGCAGGATCCACATACTGGCGGAGCACGCACAGGATGGGCTCCTTATTTCGCTCAGCAGCAGCAGCCACCATCATCGCTGCGGTGCTGCCAACCCGGCTAGGAATGCTCGCGGGGCACGACGGGAGCTGTGGTCCAGCTTCTGCGCAGGGCACTACGGGAGTTGTGGTCGTACCTACCAGCCGCCTGATACAGGAAAACTGTCAGGAGGCCGCTTGACTCCTTAAGGGGTCGGCGCTTGGCTTGGCTGTGGGTATCCAGGTGTGGTTTAGTCTAACATCCAGCACTTAGTCTGATCCAGTGTTTTCAGCGTATTTGTCACATTGAAAGTTTGTTGCGTCTGCGCCACACCTTCTTCTGAAGTTTACAAAACAAAAGAGCAACTGCGCCGCCCGGGAATCGAACCCGGGTCGCAAGAATGGGAATCTTGCATGATACCACTACACCAGCGGCGCTGTTGAGCGATGTAGCAGTCCACAGAGTATACGAAGTGTGACGTACGTGTGCTGGTCACTGCAACAGCATTGCGCATGCGTCTTTTCTATTGCGCGCCACTTTTCGGTTGACAAGAATTTGTAGGACACGCTACCCCATCAGATCCCAAAGTGTTGCTGGTGATCGAAAGAAGAAAAGATGGGGACGCCAGGTTTATAGACAGCCAGGATCGAGGATCGAGTTCTGCACCGTGGAAACCATAGCAGCCGTGAGCACTTGGAAGTTGAAGCAGCGGTCAGGTCCTGACGTTCGACCGGCCTGGCTTTGAGGGCGTGGTCGTAGTGGGTGGCAGCAGAGTGGAACTTCCGGACCCTAGAAGCAGGACTCCTCAGGTCTGGGACCGCCGGGGTTCACGAGCTTTGTGTGACCTTGAGAGGGCTGGCCCCAGCTCGAGGTCCAGGGATAGACATCAGGAGGCGGGCAGGGACCAGTGAAGTGAAGTTGGAGACGACGAGTGTGCAGACAGACAAGAGTACTTTGCCCTGAGGCGCGCCCGGGCTGTGGGGGCGTCCATGTCTAAGAGGGGCTGGATTTTTGAAAGAGCCGCAACTTCCGAGGCCGGTTGTCAGTCAAGGCTTACCCCCATACTACAGCATGGCTCCTGCTTAGGGTTGCTCTTGAGGTGTCTGTCCAAAGTGTGTTTGGTCAGCTGGGGTGGCCAGCGTGTGAGGCTAAAGAATCTGAAAAGAGGTCTGAGCCATTTACTAAAATTATACAAGGCCCAAAAGATGCCTTCACTGATTTTTTTTTTTTTTTTTTTGCAAAGATTGACCTCAGTTGTAAATAGAATGGTATCAGATCCAGAAGTCAGATTAACAATGAATAGAAGTTTTGGCTTTTTTTCAGAATGCAGAGGGGTGATTAGGCCCTTAAAGCCGAGATCGGCACCAACAGATAAATGGATTAGAAATACAGCTGATATTGGATCTCATAGTTATTATGCAACTTTAATAGGAGAAGTAATCTCTAAAGTTTAAATCTAAAGTTTTAAGAAAAATCAAACTGTCAAATGTCTTGGCTGTAGCAAGCAAAGTTCTTTCACAAGGGATTGTAGCGCAAGATGTTCCTAGAAACAATGTTCTTAGAAACAATGTGTTTTCTGGAGATAGTACAAAGAGAAGGCCGCAGCCTTCTGGAGTACGCAGAAGGTCTGGCAAAGGCTAGCATTGGACCAATGAACAGAGTTCAACAAGCAAAAGGCATTGATATCAAATTCAAGTCTGCCTTTGCAGGTTAGCATTTGCAATACACCTTTATTAGAAGTTATGCCACCCGGTGGTGGTGGCCCAAACCTTTAATCCCAGCACTCAGAAGGCAGAGGCAGGCGGGTCTCTAAATTCAAGGCTAGCCTAGTATGCTAGAGTGAGTAACAGGACAGGTTCCAAAGCTACACAGGCACTAAATCTCACCAGGGCTGGGTTGTGAGCCACCATATGGTTACGAATTGCACTCGGGTCCTCTGGAAGAGTAGACAGTGCCCTTAACAGCTGAACCATCTCTTCAGCTCCCCAGTTGCACTTTATTTTTTTTTAATATATTATGTGTATAGCATTCCTTCCACGTGTGCCTGCAAGCCAGAAGGGGGCCCCAGGTCTCATTATAAATGGCTGTAAGCCACCATGTGGTTGCTGGGAATTGAACTCAGGACCTCTGGAAGAGCAGTCAGTGCTCTTAACCTCTGAGCCATCTCTCCAGCCCC